TTTAGTTGAAATAATAACTCAATTGCTAGTAGGAGTATTTAGTTGAAAATAGTAACTCAATTGCTAGTGGGAGTATTTAGTTGAAAATAATAACTCAATTCTCAGTGGGAATATTTAGTTGAAAATGATAACTCAATTGCTAGTAGGAGTATTTATTTGAAAATAATAACTCAATTGCTAGTAGGAATATTCAGATGAAAATAATAACTCAATTGCTAGTAGGAATATTTAGCTGAAAATAATAAGTCAATTGCTAGTAGGAGTATTTAGTTGAAAATAATAACTCAATTGGTAGTAGGAACATTCAGATGAAAATAATAACTCAATTGCTAGTAGGAACATTCAGATGAAAATAATAACTCAATTGCTAGTAGGAGTATTTAGTTGAAAATAATAACTCAATTGCTAGTTGGAGTATTTAGTTGAAAATAATAACTCAATTGCTAGTAGAAGTATTTAGTTGAAAATAATAACTCAATTGCTAGTAGGAATGTTTAGCTGAAAATAACTCAATTGCTAGTAGGAATGTTTAGCTAAAATAATAACTCACTTGCTAGTAGGAATGTTTAGCTCAAAATATTAACTCAATTGCTAGTAGGAGTATTTAGTTGAAAATAATAACTCAATTGCTAGTAGGAGTATTTATAGTATGATTATGAATATAATTTATAATCTGTGTTAATGCTCAATTATGACATGCATTGACCAAGCTGACATCCCCCTTTCATATTTTGACACCTCCCATGCCACATTGTACTTCATGCAATATTTGCTCACATTTCGTCCTTCAGTCGGATTTACATTAATTAACACCAGACTGTTCATTTGCTTATCCGTGCTCGCATCCTCTTCAAGCATCAGTTCGTTTTGCCGCACCGTACGATACACATCGTCTCAGCAGAATTCCTTGCTAAAGCATTTCAGCCATTCATTTTGTCACAAATACCATTTTTTCTTCACAACATCCAGTTCCAACATGCCTCGAGGACGCGGAAGATCTAACACCAGCCGTGGCGGTCGCAAGTCTCAACGAAATCGTCGTACTCCAGCTCGCTTCCAAAATGTTGCGACTATAGACGTAACTGACTCACCTCCGCAAGAATCGTCAGCACACAATGGAGATTCCACTGTACTACAGTCCACGAACTTCCCCAGCGATGTCATCACAGTTAGCAGAAGCGAACTCGCAGATCTCGTTCGTAGCCTACAACAGCAAGGAAACTGTCAAACGCAGCCGAATAATATTTCGCAACCGCCGGCTGCTCCACAACTGTCGGCAAGCCTCGTGTCATCACGCGACCCAAGCCAAACAACGCCATCAAGTTCGATGCCAACTGACTCTCTCACAAATAACAGCCTTCCGATTACCTTGCCAATAGCTAGTCAACATAATGCGATCGTACACAATAATACCGCTCATCAAGACAATTCAATGTTTCAACAACTTCCAGCTACTACAAGCCAAGCATCGCTAGCTCACGCTAATCCTAGTCAACAAAGTTTTGCTACTGGGGGTCATTTCAACGCAACCAACATGGCCGCTCCCATACAACGTTTCGCCGGTGAGGGCATTCTCACTTCCGCTTCCGGTATCAACACTGCGACACAGGCGATGCCGATGATGAACAATGCCAGCATTGCAGTTCCTCCTATCATCCCACCTGCAGACTTGTTTTTACCATACGTCGACCAGCAAATACTCAATCAACTAGCAAACCGGGGTAAGTTTGTTGATTTGTCCGATTTACACCCTGACTCAAGAAAACCAAATGCCACCCAGATCTCAAACACCCGAGTGGCTTTGGACTCTGACGATCCCTCAGTCGCTGTTCTCTCAAAACATGCAAAAAAGAATGAAATTCGCGATTTAGCAAACTGGCTGGAATGTTGGTCAACATTTGCTGCCTATAGGGCACATTATTTTCCCCATGAGGCTGTACATTTATTCAATTACCAGCGTCACATCGCCAGCCGAGCTCTTGAGTTCAAGCCAGAAGCATGGGTCACCTATGACAAAGAATTCCGTCTAGATTACTCACGTTACCCTGGCCTACGGAACTGGAGTTTGCCTAACAACCAACTTGACTACAAATTCTGTCAACAAAAACTCCATCTGCTCATTCCAACATGTCCTGACTGTCATCAGAAAGGTCATACCAAACAGGAATGCCAACGAAGCAGGAATCCTTATACATGGGTGAACGAATCTGCTGACAATTATAACAATACAGTGTGCCGTAATTTCAATCAAGATCGCTGCGAAACTCCATGCCGGTATAATCGTCTCCACATTTGTTCGTCTTGCCACTCTGCAGGCCACACTGCCACTAGCCACCGCGATACCGAGACGAAAAACCAGCTTTTTCGTGGCTACACACCACGACCCTTTCACGCCAATGATCATGCCAGCTCACGTGGTCGAAAATATGCACCCAAGCACACCTCTTAAGCTCGATTCCTTTGCGCAAGAACTGCACGATCACCCGGACAAATCATTCGTAGCAGCCATTTTATTTGACATTTCTCATGGGGTTAACCTTGGATTTCGCGGCAAGCACTACCCAGGATCTACACGCAACGCCAAGTCCGCTCGCATCAACCCCTCTATCATCACAGAATCAATCCAAAAAGAACTCAAACTTGGTCACACTATCGGACCATTTAAACGTCCTCCGCTCAAAAACTTTGTCTGTAATTCTCTTGGCCTACGGCCTAAGAAAAGTGGGGGTTTTCGCATTATCATGGATCTCTCCCAACCTACACTTGACAGCGTCAATGACAATATCTCAAAAGAAGATCATTCATTGGTCTACTCACGCATCGATGATGCTGTAGCCTTCATTCACAAACATGGCCATGGCTCCTTACTCGCAAAAATCGATGTTAAACACGCATTTCGCTTATGCCCAGTTCGGAAGGAAGACTGGCACCTGCTCGTTTTTTTTTTTGGGAAGGATGCTATTTCTTTGACCGTGTGCTGCCATTTGGGCTTCGCTCAGCACCATACCTCTTCAACCGCATTGCTGATGCCATTCACTGGATCGTTAGTCATCGCGCAAGGAATAAGGATTTTCTACACTACCTAGACGATTTCCTGACAGTTGGACCGGCGAACACTAACGCCTGCCAGCACAATATGGATGTTATGCTGCAAAGTTGTCACCACTTGGGGGTACCCATTGCTACAGAAAAGGTTGAGGGTCCCTGCTCTGTCATCACCTTTCTAGGGGTGGAGCTTGACACTGTCAACATGGTTATTAGACTACCTAAGGACAAGCTTGCGGATCTACTTTTCAAGCTGCCAAGCTGGTTGACCCGCCATACATGCTCGAAACGTGAATTGCTCTCCCTCATTGGATGCCTCAGTTTCGCATGTAAGTGCATACCAGCCGGCCGCATCCTCCTGAGGCGCATGATTGATATCAGCATGACAGCCACCAGTCTTTCTCAAGTCATAACACTCACTGACGAATTCTGGCATGATGTTCAATGGTGGTGTGACTTCTTGCCATCTTGGAACGGCACAGCATCCCTCCTCAACCCAAACTGGATACAGTCCCCAGAATTCGAACTGTTTACAGACGCCTCAGCAACACTTGGCTACAGGGCATTCTACAAGGGTCATTGGTTCGCAAACACCTGGCCTACATTCATTACAAATGACCCTTTATACTCTATTGCCTGGAAGGAACTTCTACCAATTCTACTATCTTCCTTAATTTGGGGCCACTTGTGGTATGGTCTTCGAATACGGTTTCACTGCGATAACATATCAGTTGTCCAAATATGGAAAAAAGGCTCCTCATCATGTCCACGGATCATGCAACTTGTCCGACTGCTGTTCTTCACTGCAGCATCTAATAACTTTCACGTCATGATCTCACATATCTCAGGGTTTAATAACGATATCGCTGACTCTCTCTCTCGCCAACAGATATTGCGGTTTCAACGACTGGCACCTCAGGCAGACAGGGTCCCAACCAAAACTCCGGACCTGTGCACCCTCTTAACGGCTCCGATGTGCGACGTAGTCCCGTCAACCTCACACAACAAGCCTGCCACTACATCAACCTGAGCATTGCACCAGGTACACGACGGACATATCATGCGGGACAAACTCGCTATCTTCTCTTCTGTCGCATGTATGGAATGAATCCTTATCCACTAACGCAACGCTCAACGATTCTGTTTATGACACATCTCGCAACATCGTCACTCACCTATGGCACGCTAAAAGTTTACCTCGCAGCTATCATCCGTGCACACATCGAAGCTGGCTTCACCTCATCAATACGCGACGACCTCCTGCTTCACTTCACTATGCAAGGCATTAAAAGACATCACGGCATGCCAAATCGTGTAAAACTCCCAATCACCATTGCACTAATGCGAATGCTTAAGAACACCGTCGCAAACCATCCCACTATTTGAAACCATGACAAAGCTATGTTGTGGTCTGCCTTTACACTGGCGTTCTTCGGCTTCTTGAGAGTCAGCGAATTTGTCGCACCCGCGTCAATGACCTTCGATCCACAACGCACTTTACTGACGGCAGACATCACGTGCAACACAGACCTCGTCATTGCGCTCAAGGCGTCTAAGACAGACCCATTCCGCCGGGGATGTAACATCATCATCGCACCCTCACAGTCATCGGTCTGCGCTGTGCAGGCATACCAGGCGTACAAAGCACTACATAGTTCCGTCGCTCGCCTACCCGCATTTCAGTTCGCCAACAGTAATTTCCTCACGCGGCAAGCTGTTAGCAACCACATTCGAGACCTTCTCACTCGCGCATCTGTACCAGATGTTAACCGTTACACTACTCACAGTTTCCGCAGTGGTGCAGCCACGACAGCTGCCGACGCAAATCTTCCGGACTGGTTGATCAAGGCACTGGGCAGGTGGCGCAGCGACACCTACCAGACGTACATTCGCACACCCCCCAGCATCATCCGCTCAGTTCCGGGTCACTTGTCACTTGCTCTTCCTTAACTGTAATTTCGACATTTGTTTTGAGATTTCATTTCGTTTTCGTTACATGTATTTGCAGTGTATTTAGTTTAATGTTTTATCGGTCTAACCATGCTTTGTTTTATCTTATCGCGATAGACTTTGTAACACATCATCCTGCCTTTAAATTTGGGGGTTTCCACCACAGACCAAGCAGACTCTACACGGGTACCCACGCTGTCCATCCCCCTGGGGTTGTGAGTCTATCTGCAGGCTCCCGCCAGGGGGACGCCAGCCATGACGCCCGCCTGTACAGTCTCTGCTGGTGGAAGGTTGCAACCAGGTACCACGCGCTCGGCGTCATGATGCAATTCACAGGCGAGTCGCATCATGGAGCTGTTCGCTGCGACGCCTGCGTCTGCAATTCGCTCCCCCTTCCACTTTTGCCAAAACCTTGTGTCTTGTGTCATTTATTGAAGCATTAATAGTATGATTATGAATATAATTTATAATCTGTGTTAATGCTCAATTATGACATGCATTGACCAAGCTGACATCCCCCTTTCATATTTTGACACCTCCCATGCCACATTGTACTTCATGCAATATTTGCTCACATTTCGTCCTTCAGTCGGATTTACATTAATTAACACCAGACTGTTCATTCGCTTATCCGTGCTCGCATCCTCTTCAAGCATCAGTTCATTTTGCCGCACCGTACGATACACATCGTCTCAGCAGAATTCCTTGCTAAAGCATTTCAGCCATTCATTTTGTCACAAATACCAGTTTTTCTTCACAACATCCAGTTCCAACATGCCTCGAGGACGCGGAAGATCTAACACCAGCCGTGGCGGTCGCAAGTCTCAACGAAATCGTCGTACTCCAGCTCGCTTCCAAAATGTTGCGACTATAGACGTAACTGACTCACCTCCGCAAGAATCGTCAGCACACAATGGAGATCCCACTGTACTACAGTCCACGAACTTCCCCAGCGATGTCATCACAGTTAGCAGAAGCGAACTCGCAGATCTCGTTCGTAGCCTACAACAGCAAGGAAACTGTCAAACGCAGCCGAATAATATTTCGCAACCGCCGGCTGCTCCACAACTGTCGGCAAGCCTCGTGTCATCACGCGACCCAAGCCAAACAACGCCATCAAGTTCGATGGCAACTGACTCTCTCACAAATAACATTCCTTCCGATGACCTGGCCAATAGCTAGTCAACATAATGCGATCGTACACAATAATACCGCTCATCAAGACAATTCGATGTTTCACCAACAACTTCCAGCTACTACAAGCCAAGCATCGCTAGCTCACGCTAATCCTATTCAACAAAGTTTTGCTACCAGGGGTCATTTCAACGCAACCAACATGGCTGCTCCCATACAACGTTTCGCCGGTGAGGGCATTCTCACTTCCACTTCCGGTATCAACACTGCGACACAGGCGATGCCGATGATGAACAATGCCAGCATTGCAGTTCCTCCTATCATCCCACCTGCAGACTTGTTTTTACCATACGTCGACCAGCAAATACTCAATCAACTAACAAAACCGGGGTAAAGTTTGTTGATTTGTCCGATTTACACCCTGACTCAAGAAAACCAAATGCCACCCAGATCTCAAACACCCGAGTGGCTTTGGACTCTGACGATCCCTCAGTCGCTGTTCTCTCAAAACATGCAAAAAAGAATGAAATTCGCGATCTAGCAAACTGGCTAGAATGTTGGTCAACATTTGCTGCCTATAGGGCGCATTATTTTCCCCATGAGGCTGTACATTTATTCAATTACCAGCGTCACATCGACAGCCGAGCTCTTGAGTTCAAGCCAGAAGCATGGGTCACCTATGACAAAGAATTCCGTCTAGATTACTCACGTTACCCTGGCCTACGGAACTGGAGTTTGCCTAACAACCAACTTGATTACAAATTCTGTCAACAAAAACTCCATCTGCTCATTCCAACATGTCCTGACTGTCATCAAAAAGGTCATACCAAACAGGAATGCCAACGAAGCAGGAATCCTTATACATGGGTGAACGAATCTACTGACAATTATAACAATACAGCGTGCCGTAATTTCAATCAAGATCGCTGCGAAACTCCATGTCGGTATAATCGTCTCCACATTTGTTCGTCTTCCAACTCTGCAGGCCACACTGCCACTAGCCACCGCGATACCGAGACGAAAAACCATCTTCTTTAATTTGGGGCCACTTGTGGTATGGTCTTTGAATACGGTTTCACTGTGGTAACATATCAGTTGTCCAAATATGGAAAAAAGGCTCCTCATCATGTCTACAGATTATGCAACTTGTCCGACTGCTGTTCTTTACTGCAGCATCTAATAACTTTCATGTTGGGTCCCAACCAAAACTCTGGACCTGTGCACCCTTTTAACGGCTCCGATGTGCGACGTAGTCCCGTCAACCTCACACAACAAGCCTGTCACTACATCAACCTGAGCATTGCACCAGGTACACGACGGACATATCATGCGGGACAAACTCGCTATCTTCTCTTCTGTCGCATGTATGGAATGAATCCTTATCCACTAACGCAACGCTCAACGATTCTGTTTATGACACATCTCGCAACATCGTCACTTACCTATGGCACGCTAAAAGTTTACCTCGCAGCTATCATCCGTGCACACATCGAAGCTGGCTTCACCTCATCAATATGCGATGACCTCCTGCTTCACTTCACTATGCAAGGCATTAAAAGACATCACGGTGTGCCAAATCGTGTAAAACTCCCAATCACCATTGCACTAATGCGAATGCTTAAGAACACCGTCGCAAACCATCCCACTATTTGCGACCATGACAAAGCTATGTTGTGGTCTGCCTTTACACTGGCGTTCTTCGGCTTCTTGAGAGTCAGCGAATTTGTCGCACCCGCGTCAATGACCTTCGATCCTTAACGCACTTTACTGACGGCAGACATCACGTGCAACACAGACCTCGTCATTGCGCTCAAGGCGTCTAAGACAGACCCATTCCGCCGGGGAGGTAACATCATCATCGCACCCTCACAGTCATCGGTCTGCGCTGTGCAGGCATACCAGGCGTACAAAGCACTACATACAAATGTAGTTCCGTCGCTCACCTACCCGCATTCCAGTTCGCCAACAGTAATTTCCTCACGCGGCAAGCTGTTAGCAACCACATTTGAGACCTTCTCACTCGCGCATCTGTACCAGATGTTAACCGTTACACTACTCACAGTTTCCGCAGTGGTGCAGCCACGACAGCTGCCGACGCAAATCTTCCGGACTGGGCAGGTGGCGCAGCGACGCCCACCAGACGTACATTCGCACACCCCCCAGCATCATCCGCTCAGTTCCGGGTCACTTGTCACTTGCTCTTCCTTAACTGTAATTTCGACATTTGTCTTGAGATTTCATTTCGT